GCCACTTTCCATCGCGAAGCATCATCACAGTGCGTCCGAATCGAGTGATTCCATTTACCTCGATAAATGTCGCTGTCATTCTCGGTGGAGGAGACCGGGACCGTGTAGGTGGTCTGCTCGTACGTCTGCTCGTCCGTGTACACGATCGGATCCGCGGACGCGAACAATATCCTTAGAATGACGGCCACTGCGGCCGCGAGTTGAGCGGCACTGGCTATCCTGGCCCGCGACATTTTCGTTTTGCAGCTGCAGCTGTGAAGCGCGGCGTGGCGCGGCGTGGCGTGGCGTGGCGTGGCCTGGTGTGTGCGAGCACCGCACCGCACCGCACCGCACGGCACGGGCACACGGCACAACACACGGCTTGGCTCGCTCTCCACCGGGCTATTTCACGAATTCGTCCATCCTCGTTGCCCTTGTCGGCGTTCCTCTCATCGCGCTCGTTTTCACCCTCGGTGACACGCACACCAACCACGGGAACAACACGCGACAGGACGGTCCGCGGTACGAGTCGCGTCTCCGCGAACGTTCATCGCTGTTCTTCACCTTTTGTCTGCACCGTGTTTCAAAACACCGGCCCGTGGTAGGCCACCGGGTAGAAACACCCTGGTTTACGCCGTCTCATCCCCGTACACGCACGTTGCTGATTTTTGTCCACGAGATTTTGTTCGCGATCACGATCCACTTCGATGCTCACTCGATGCGAACGATCATACTGTGTACCAGATATACGATATTTCAGCCGGTGGCGAGGGTGTTGCACAGGGGTGGTGGCTGGAGGAAAGCGATCGAACGGATCGACCGACCGACGTGTCGCTGGACAGTGGCCTGAAGGAAAATGGGAAATTGTCGAGGCGTATCGGGCAGCAAGGATCGAAGCTAACGACTAAGCGGCGATTGCGTCCCGTGCTGCATATCCTGGCGACCCGATACTACTTGGCGCGTCGCGTACACACGTCCGCGTGCAACGTGACCGGAATATAGAAACCGTGGCTCGAGATCGAAGACTTGCTAGCCTAATTTGGTTTCTCTCCCGTCGGACTTGTTCCCTCGCCTTTCCTTCCCTCTCCTTTCCTTCTTTGTTCTTTGTCGTCCTTTGTCGTCTCGCGACCGCGCAAGCAGCGCACACGTGGGAATACAGAAGCGAAGAATAAAGAAGACAGACTGGCGGGAAAGAGAAAGAGAAAGAGAAAGAAAAAAAGAAGAAAAGTAAATTCAATCGTCGCCGGTTCCCCGGCTCGCGCGCGTTGTCCTAATTGCGTCGTCGAGTGCCTCAATTAGTCGGAATTATGACCTCGATTGTTTTATCGTCGCGCTGCTGCCTCACCGAGAGAGGAGAGCAGCAACAGCGCCGGTAGCAACAGCGGAGACGGCCGCCGCGCCGGCAGCAACGAGCGCATCAGCTTCGCTATTCGCCGGTCGCGCAGCAATAATTACACCGGCCCCTCTGCAAGCGTTTTAAAGCAGCTTCCCCTTGTATTTTTAGTACGTCAAGATCGAGGGGACTCGCGGCCAAACGCCTCCGCCGCCTGCCTGTCCAGGATCCGGCAAACGGTTTGTCTCACGTTCTTCTGTCTTCTGTTTTCAGAAAGAAAAGAAGGAAGGAAAAACGAGACGCGAGGATATACGTCTAGCTTCTATCTGTTCTAGCCATCGCTGCAGCGATCGGCAACCAACGTGCGGAAAGTTCCGTGCGAGAAGATCGCGCAGAGGCTCGAGCCACTTCGAGACGAAGAGGAATCGGCCGATGCTTGCCGCCTGATTTTGGAAACGAACGAAACATGCGAGCGTGCACGAGTCGGCTCTGCAATTATGACTCAACGATTGCGATATTAACCGCAAAGTTAGCCGAGAACCGGCCACGGCGGCGCTGCACGCGTGCACGAGCCTTGACATTTATACGTCACGGAGAAACTCCGCGTCCTATGTTCATCCTAGTTGCGCAGAAAGCTAGACGGAAAGAAACACCAACGTCGAGACCAACTCGGCAATCAGACGAGGCGAGGTGTATGTTGTATACACACAAGCGCGGAAAAACAATTTCCGCTAGTTCTCTTCGGATGAAAATTCAAGTTCCGCAATAAAGGATGACTCACTGGCATGCGACGTGCCTCAGCGAGTAGTGTACCTACATAGGGTGTATCGTAACGTGTGGCCACTGGTTCAAGGGTAGTCCCGGCGCGTTTGAACGATTATCCTAGGACCTTTGGTTAAAAGCAAATATCCCATGTTTGTTATATACATATCTGCTATATTTACTTCGAGTGTAAACGATCGTTTGAGATCGTTGAGTGGTTGAAAAAGTGGTAAACAACGTGTACCTGTTCTTGAAAAACTTGCTTCGATACTCGCTGATGGAAACATTGGATTTCCATACATCGTGATATTTTCGGCTCGAAATTTATTGAAACGAGGTCGTCGTATCTCTCGTGCAAACGATCGGCAACTTATCAACGATTTCCTGCCTGCTTCCGTTTCGTAAGAAAGACGTCAAACCGACGGAGATTGAGAGAGAGAGAGAGAGAGAGAGGGAGAGACGCCCGTTGCTTCCGATTCCAATATCCTTTGCGACAAGAGATATCTAACTCCGCGACAAGTCGACGGGAAACGTGCAAACTCAGGCCTGCACAGAAATCGACTGGTATTATGCAACGATGTACATATTTGCATAGGTCGGGCGCATCGGTGGTATCGTGTCGCGTGGGATTACACCGATCGACCGGCAGAAGTGGAGGAATCGATTCGTTTCGTGCCGAGAGACGTCGCCTTTCAGCCAGATAGAGATTCGAGGGCGAAGGGTGTTGCCTTTTGTCGTCGATGGTACTCGTTATACCTGACACTGCACCGACGATCCCTTGTTCCAACATTCCCGGGAGAAAACCGTCGACGAGGTTACGTTCAATTACACACCGGCGAAGGTCGATTAAAGTGGACTACGTTGCGATACGCTATATTTGCGGATACGCAGATAGAATAAATTATCAAAGCGGATGACATTGACATGTATTTCGTGTGTGTAACGCTAATGTTGGACGAAGAGTTATTTGTTATTCACGTAGCCGTGATGCGAAAGCGAAAATAGTATACGTATGAACCAAGTATGTGCCGATATATTACGTACTTCGGCAGAGAACGAAACAGGAAAACCAGCCGCGTGTATGTCGCGAGTCGTTTTCGAACGATTGTACGAAACGACCAGTGTGTCTCGTCGGGGGAACCAACAAGGAAATTACACCGATGAGAGTTGCTCGAGGAAAATCGAAATTCCCCGGCGGAAACACTCGCATGGTCAATTGAATCCGATCCAGCGTCATTTTGGCACCGTACGAAGAACCCTTCACGCCATATCGACCCTTCAACCTCGAGCCACGATTCCGCCCACGTCGAACTCACGACCCGGACCACTTACTGAACCAATCATTATCATGCGATTCTCGGCGCCTCTCGCTGTATCCTCGATCTGTCTTCTTGAGAAGAAGAAGAGGAAGAAAAAGAAAAAAAAAAAAAAAAAAAAAGAAAAGAAAAAAAATAAGAGGAAAAGACGGAAACTGGTACCGTGCGGCGTGGTGTGCGCGAATTCACTGAAAACTTTCTCACACTAGGCGTCACTGACACTGAAGAGGCGTCGTTTGCGCGGTGGAATCAAACGCCATTTCAAATTGAACCGCACGGGAGCATCCACGGGTAACTTCACAAAATGACGGATCTGCGGCCGCGGCAGAGTCTAGCCGAGATAACGTTTCATCGACATCTCGGGACGAGCGATGGAGCACCGTTGCAATCCTGCGAGAGTGACAAAACGCACTGCTCTCCAGCGAGGAAACACGAACGCTGCCACGCACACCACTGGCCTGTCGCACACGATGATCACCAACGTACAACGTACTCGCGCGTACGGTAAACCGTGGGCTCCGACTACTCTCTCTCTCTCTCTCTCTCTCTCTCTCT